GCTATGCAGTTATGCAATATTAGCTTATACCCTCATTCATTTTCAATAATTATTTTGGAATTAAATCTTCCCCAGTGATATTGCCATTAAAAAAATTCTGGAAAATAATTTAGTAATGTCAAAAGGAGATATAGAAGGCTAGTTTGTAGTATTTTAAGATATAAATTAAAAATGTAGACTAGTATTATCACTAAATAAAATGCAGAAGGTGTTTAAATGCAAACATCTGGAAAAAAGGCATGAAAATACAAAGGGAATATACACCAAAATTTAATCACTAAATCAGAATAGAACTGAAAGGGACCATGGAGGTCTTCTAGTCCCACCTCCCCTGCTCAATCAGGAGACCCTTTACCACTTCAGACAAATGACTCTCCAGTCACTTCTTAAAAACCTCCAGTGATGATGAACCCCCAGAATTTTTGAAAGCAAGCTGTTCCACTGGTTAATTGTCCTCACTGTTAGGAAGTTTCTCCTTAGTTCTATGTTGCTTCTCTCCTTGATCCATTGTTTCTTCTCCTATGTACGGATCTTTTGGTAAATATGTTGATCCCCTCCTCTTTGTGGCAACCTCTCAAATACTGGAATACTGCTTTCATGTCACTCTTTTTCTCTGAACAGCCAAACCCAAATCCAGAAACTGTTCTTCATATTTTTTAGTCTCCAGTTCTTTAATCATCTAAGTTGCTCTTCTTTGCCCTTTTTCCAATTTCTCAACATATTTTTTGTAATGTGGTGACCAATTCTTCATGTGATTTTGATACTATACCTCTGTTTATACAACCAAGAATTGTATTAGCTCTTTTGGCTGCTAGCATGCACTACTCGCTATATTTAAGTGATCGTCTACTAGGACTCCAAGGTCCCTCTCACAGTTACTGTTTTTGAGTTAGGTTTTATCTAATTTGTACTTATACTTTGGTTTTCCTGCCTAAGAGAAAAAACCTTGCCTTTTCCCACCTTAAATTTCATGTTGTTGGATAAGACCCATTGTTCAAGTCTGTCAAGACTTTTTTGGATCCCGAGCTTATCTTCTGGGATGTTGGCTATTCCTGTCATCTGCAAATTTGATGAGTTTCTCTTCTATTCCCTCATTTATGAAGTTGTTGAAGAGTATTGGGCTTAAGACAGAACTCTGTGGAATCCTACGGCTTATTTATCAATATATTGATATAATGCCATTAAAGACAACTTGATCATGGTTTGTCAACCAATTACAAATCCATCTGATGATGATGCTGTCTATCCTGTATTTTTCTAGCTTTACCAAGCAGTAGGTTGTGTGAATGCCTTGCTGAAGTCTAAATATATTATTTCCACAGCATTTCACTGGTCCACCAATTTAGTCACTTTGTCAATAAATGAAATAAGATTGGTTTGGCATTATTTGTTTTTAACATGCTGATTTTATTTGTTTCTAGATGTTTGCAGATCTGTTTTTGATTATCTTTTCCAGTATCTTCCCAGATACTAATGTTAGGCTGATTGGTCTGTAGTTTCCTGGGTCTGTTTCTTTTTTCTTTTTTAAATATGGGAACCACATCAGCTCTTATCCAATCCTCAAGTAATTACTTGGCATTCCAGGATTTTGAAAGATATAGTACAATGGTTCTGAAATGACATCTGCCAGCTCCTTCAAAACTCTGTGGTGTAAATCAATAGATCCCAGTGATTTATGTTCATCAAGATCAGATAGATGTTTTGACTTCCAGTTGTTCATTGTCAGAGTCGGAGCAGATCCACAATCGTGGCAGTTTCACTCCAAGCTCACTTGTTGGAGGGTCCCAATTGAGTCCAGAATCATCCCAGAGGAGTGGTGAAGAAAGGGGGAGTCATATGGAGGGTTGAGGGGAATCACAACTCCTCTCCCTGACAAGAGAAACCCCTTTCAAAGGCAAGTTGCAGTGGTGATAAAATAGTCACCACAAAGACAAAGAGCAGTCCCAGAAAAAAAGACTGTGCTGGAGCAGTGAAGCAGTGAATGGAGTGTGAAGCAAGCAAAATACTTAGACTCTAAGGTACTCTGGTATTAAGAAATAAAAGAACTATTTTGGAGGAAAGTGTGTAGAAATGGTGAACAGAGAGAGAAGGAAATTAGAATTTATAAAATTGGCTTGAATTATTGCAATGAATTAACTTGGAGGAGAAAATTCAGAAGAAAATATTTGAGCACAAAAGGCTTGGAAATTAAATTGGATAACTATTGGATCTTTGGCACTAAATATGCATATATAAATGCTGGAATTGAATGTGTTGGAAAAAATAATAGCTAATAATTAAAATTAGTGAACTTAATAAAAGTTAAAAATTAAAAAAAGAAAGCAAAAGTAAAAGGCAGAATGAATTATGGAAAAAAACCAAGAGTGCCACCAGATGGTACAGGAAAAATTTCAGTGACTTAAAAACTCTGGCTTTTCTAATAAATTAGACTTTGGGATTTAAAAGAAAATAAGAGAATCTCCATTAAAATAAAATAAGAACCCTGAAAAGTGATAACAGAATACTATAAGGGGAAAGATACTTGCAAACGTTTTTTTAGAACCACCTGGTGACTTTGTAAAACAGCTGGAAAAGGACCTATTAGAAGACCTGGAAACAAAAATTTATGGACATTGATTGTTCAAAATAAATATAAAAGTCACTGGTTAAAATAACATACTGGATTTTGGATTGAATATATCTATTAAAGAAGAGAAAAAAAAGAAAGGAGCAGACAGAATTGGGGAATTATTTGTTTAAATAAGATTGATAAGACAGATAAAGACAATATGGAACATGAATATAGAAAAGAGACAAGAATCTTAGATAATGTAAAATATGATATGAGAATATCCTAAGAAAAATGAAATGTCCTAATATGAACTGAGATCGGATAAAATAAGCTTAATGAATTTAATGTTAATAAGGAATAATGTGATATGAAACTGAATAAGTAAGATGAATAGGTAACATGTTTATGTTGGGATGTGAAACCTGGAACCACACTCTTGCCAAATGAGAATTTTTATTTAAAAAATAAAAAATAGGAGAGGAAATTGAATAATGAAATTACTAGGCATGTTTAAATAATATAGTGACTGGCACTAGGAGAGAGTATTGAAATGTTGAAAAATTAAGCAATGGAGGATTATAATTTAACATGAATATGTGTATCAAGAGATACGGATGGTTTTATTAATTTTCATTGTACTAAAACGTATGATGTATCAGTGCCACACTGTTTATGTATTGATGTGTATGTATAGATCAAAATAAAAAAAATGATTAAAAAAAGATCAGATAGATATTCTCTAACCATTTTCTTGCTTATTTTAATTTTTATTTCTAGTCTGTTTTTTACAGTTTTGTTTTTGATAGGTTGGTCTGTAGTTTCTTTTTGCATCAAGACTGATGCAAACAATGAGTTAAGCAGCTCTACTTTGTCTTTACTGCCTATTATTTCCTTCCATCTTCTCTCTTAGGTGGACCTACTGCTTCCTTGACTTTTTTCTTGTTATCTATTTGTTAAAATATACTTTAAAAAAATATTTGACTTTTGTTGCAAGTCTTTGTTCATTTGCTTTCCTGGCTTTCACCTTTGCTTTCCTGGCTTCATCTTTGTATATTCATGCTTTCTGCTGATACTCTGTCTTAGTTTTGTGTCTTTCTTTTTTGTACTTGGCCTTTTTGTCTTTCAGTTTATCTTTGTGCAAGCATGCTGGTTTCTTCTTGGATTGCTTGTTTTTTTCTTTTTCAGTGGTATTGTGGGATTTTATTATCATATTTTTCAGGGTTTCAAATGACTATAACTGAATGTAGTCTATAATCTGTAATATGATTTATGCAAATCTATTGTAGAGGGAAAGATGAATGGAATTCACTGGGTCATTCTGACCTATGGACAAAGAGGCTTGTTGTATGTTTTATTATATTTTATTATTTATAATTTTTTGTAGGCTAAAATCCTTTCTTAAAAACTGATTGGAAAGTCCCTCAGAGCAAGGAACAGAGCAAGGAACACTTCTGACCCCTGGATCTGATCCAGAAGAATATTGTCATGATCATGCAACACAAAAGTCCAACGGAATGCTAGTGATGGCTTGATCGAGAAGGAGGGGGATTTAAATTCAGCAGCAATGATCCTGAATAATAAACATGGAGGGTGTATTGAGAGAGCCTTTTTGTTACGGCAATGTTAATGTGGCTAATGATGGAGTAATTAGGCTACAGGAATTAACTATGATGACTGTGATTAGATAATAAGGGGTAATAATGAATAATGGTAGGTAATAAGGGGGAAATTACTATAAATACAGGGTTCTGTTGAACTCAGTTTAGAGCTGACTTTAATTTTATTTGTTTGACTGTTTTCGTGGGGTCCTTGCAGATGAATGAAGTAAAAAAAATTGTTTATCAAAACAACGAGGCTTTTGTATTTTCTTTGATCCACAGATTGACCTACAGAGCAGTTGAGAAATACATGGTTAACTATACTGAAACATTATTCCCAACCCTCAGTGTTTATGCCACAATTTCATAACTATTTTTCCATGTCATCCTCAGAATAATCTTTATTTCTTAAGTTCAGGGTTTTAAAACTTTATTCTTTTCAACACATAAACTCAACATTCACGAAGAAAGAATTTATTGTCTAATTAGCTCAGACCAAAACTATCAACAAGACAATTATAGACTAATTTTAGACTTATAGGAGGATAGCTGTATTAGTCTAGGGGAGCCAAAATATAAGAGTTTTGTAAGACTTTTTTCTAATTAACAAATATTGTTGACAAATAAACATTGAGATTTATTATGCCTTTTAATAACATTTGCTAGATTCAGTCTAAATAATATTAATAAGTTTGGAAAAATTCACATGAAACAGGTTTTTTTCTGATTAAACTGCAGAACAGATTTTGAAGACAGAATAGTTAATAAATGAAACATTATCTAAACCTTCAGAAAGTATGAAATAAAGTATTTCATTTAAGAATATAAGAGAAGAACATGCTTTGACATTTTTATGTTTTTCTAAACTTGAACAAAATATAACACAGTCTTCTCAAAGAAACCTTCACTTCTCTATTTCTTAAACTATATATAATAGGATTAAGTATGGGGGTTATTATGGTGTAGATTGCAGAGAATACTTTATGAAGCCCATACAGTTTGTTAGTGTTGGGTACTACATAGACACTCATTAGAGTCCCATAAAAAATAGTCACTACTAAGAGATGAGAAGAACAGGTGGAAAATGCCTTTTGTTTTCCTATCGTGGAAGGCATTCTCATTATAGCTACAATGATAAATGTGTAAGATGTTAGAGTTAATATAGATGGTGGAAAAGTAAATATTGAGCTTAAAACATAAAGAAAAACTTTTAAAGCATATGTATTACCACAAAATAATTCTATAATTGGGAAGGTGTCACAAAAGAAATGATCAATTCTATTATTACAGAAAACTAATTTGGACATGATAATCAGTGTAATAGTGTTTGCTAAAAAACCACTAATCCAAGAACAAGCTATCAGTCTAACACAAGTTCTGCCATTCATCATGGTGACGTAATGTAGCGGTTTGCATATAGCTAAATACCGATCATAGGACATTGCAGACAACAGATAACATTCCACGGATACAAAAGAACCAAACAAATAATGTTGCACAAAGCAAGTGGTGTAAGAAATCAGCTTACTTCCAGTAACTAAGTTAAATAACATTCGTGGTAAGATGTTTGAACTGCTACAGGCTTCCAGGCATGAAAGGTTCCCAAGGAAAAAATACATGGGAATGTGGAAGTGTTGATCGAGAGCAATGAGTAGAATAAGAAATAGGTTTGCAGCTATGGTGCCCATGTAGATGAGGAAGAAGAGCAAGTACAGAGGAATATGTAGTGTCTGATAGTTTCCAAATCCAAGCAGAATGAATTCAGAATTGAATGTCTGATTTATCATTTCTGTAGTTTCAGATAACTGTCCATAGGAAAAGTAAGATGGAAATCATATTGTGATTATCTCTGATACTACTCTGATACTCTGATACTACTCTGATTATCTCTTACCTTCCTTCCTTCTAGAAAAATCAACAGAGATCTCTGTATGATAGGAATAAAAAAATGTGATGTTTTTGGTCCCATGATGAACTAAATATTAATTATGAATATTTTATGTGCCTTAGGAATAGTATTATTAAGGCATTTATCTCATCTTTTCTTTTCTCTGATTGTAATCAGTTCAGTCAACTTATTTTAATTAAAGTCAAAACTTTGAACATTGAGATTATTGCACTGTGAACAAGTACTGAGTAATTATGAAATAAGTTACATTCTTCCTTTTTTCTTTATATCCCCATCTTGTACAAGCAAAACAGCAGCTGAATAAGCAATAGCTGTCTAGGAAAGAGGGCAGGAAAGAAGAAATTTCTACAATTAGACGATTTTCAATTTCTGTCTCTAGATCTCATTGCAAAGAGTTGTAATAGTTACAAGTCTCATATTTATCTGGAGAGTAAATAGACTAAATATTTCTTATTGAAGTGTGTGTAGTGTTTGGTCGGCAGGTTGGACTAGGTGACCTACCAGTCCCTTTCAACTCTGATTACCTGTTTTCTGTCTCTCTCATAGTTTTCAAAGTAAAAACCTGAAAATTTGATCTAAACTATACATATCCAATTCAAGGCTGGGGGGTGGGGGGGCATGATGGCCCAATATGTGTTTAGATCTGGCTTGCAAGCAGACTAGTAGGAGGACATGACTGACTGATAACCTCCTCACTTGTCAGTGGCAGCAGCGCCCTCTGTCTAAGAGCAAATGGCTGGTGAGGGAAGGAAAGGGATGGAAAGAAAGAGAAAGTATGAAAGGCAATTGGATTGTGTGTGTAATGGGGGAGTGAGATGAATTGGTGGCAGCACTGCACAGGTCTGGGGGAGAATCAGCTGGAGCTGCAGTGTTGCTGGGACTCTGCTGAGGCCCTGGAATCAGTATACATGACTCCAGCTGATTGTCATTTCCAGCAGTCTTGGCTATTGCCAGCAGCAGCACCCAGCCTTGGGGAGAGGAGTCAGCTGGAATTGTGGGGCTGCCAGGGCTCAATGGAGACCTCGGGAATCGGCACATGCAGCTCCAGCCAATGAGTGTTGTATGCAAAGGCCAGTTGGGCACTGGGTGACTGCATGGAGGTGGGGGCTGGAACAGTGATGGATGCTGAAGCTGTGAGGCCCAGAAAATGATATATTTGGAAGAGAGAAAAAGAGGAGGAAGTGGAGAGAGAGAGAGAGGAGATAAAAAGAGGGAGATTTGGCAAGATAAGGAGAGGAGTAAGAGGGACAGAAGGCAATAGGGAGGAGAGGAGAGGCTTCTATGGGGCAAGCCAAGTGAGGGAAGTGCTTGAGTGAATGGGAGGTACAAGGAATCAACAAAGGAGCAGAGGAAGAAGAACCCAGGAGGTAGTGCAAGAGAGAGAGAGAGGAAAGAGAGAAGGGCCAACCACTCACTTGAATAGCATCCCATCACATGACCTGCCTGCTGGGAGACTGACCACTACCCTTTCACATGATCCACAGCCTCCTTATACCCCAAAAGATCCAGACTTACAGCATCCTACTGAGACTTAGACATAATGCACTCTTGAACTAATATGATACATAGTCTTATATGCAACTGGCCCTTTGAGGACAACCATAATGCTGATGAGGCCCTCAATAATTTTCTTCAGTTGAGTTTTCATTGCTTTGATATTATAGTTTTCAAATTTAGAATGTGATACCATAATATGGATTTTTATCCTTCCAGATTATTTTTCAGTACCATTTAGTAATTCAGTTAATTTTCATATACTGTAAATAATCTATAATTTCTACTAACTGCATGTTCAGATAGTTCTTGCTGAAAATAATCACGCCTGCGCATGCGTGCACACACACACACACACACAAACACATCTATATCTATCTATCTATCTATCTATCTATCTATCTATCTATCTATCTATCTATCCCCAAAATAGCATTTTATAGGGAAGAGGGGGGAAAAGCTGTATACCTTCAATGGAGTAGTCATGACACACACACACACACACACACACACACACACACACACACAAAATACACATACAGCCAGACATATATACATCATGCATGCAGTATTTCTAAAATAGTGCTTTGTAGGAAAGAGAGAAAAAATCTGTATACCTTAAATGGAGTAGTCATGATAAATATAAAAATGCAAATGCTTTATCCAGTCCAATATTTCAGGAGCTAAATTCTTCAAAACTCTTTTAATCATATAATCCATTTAAGGTTTATTATATCCATTTATAGTTATTTTATGTCACATTGTTTTTGCCTTGTCCAGACCTAATTTTCCTGGTATTTGCAATTGTGTTTTCTTCCATTCAGTACAATGTAACACCAAAGTGAATCATCCATCATGGAACTTCAAAGTTAGACATACATTTGTAGGCTGAGCAGATAATTATGGGCATCTTTATTTCCAATATCTCATTTTTTTTCTTAATGATACAATAGGTTTAATTGTAGCTGGATTTAAAAGGCCATTTCTCTTTCAAATGAATAAAAATAAATTTGTATTTAGTTTTATTTTCCTTCCAGAAAAAGCTCAAATAAATGAGATAAGAATCATCAACTATTAACTGGATATGAAGCTTTCTTTGTATATATTCAGAGTTCCTATAGAGAAATATCTAATTAGCTTCTTTCTCCAGAGGTGAATACAAGGGGGTATACTATTATTTATAATCACAAATTATTAAAAAAAAAACATTTTTTACCTTTGGGAAATAAAAGTTAAATAAATGGGGGTATGGTTTTTTTTAAAAAAACTATTAATTAAAATTTTAATTAAAATAAATTTCATGATTATATCATTCCATTTTTTTTTCACTTTTCAATAATGTGAAGGTCTATGACCAGGTGTATAACTGCTATTGGACAGCTACCTCTTTAACACTTTGATCAGATCAGTTACAAAAGTAAAGTGTATTGATATGAAATATGTTAAACTTCTCAGATATTGGAGGTATGATATCAACATATACTTCAGTTTGAAGGAATGAATTAAGGTGCTTATTTTGTTAAAGTGATAAGATTGCCTGAATTATTTATTTCTTTATTTGTTAAATTTATATACCACTCATCTTACTGTGGCACTGATTCTGAGGGATTTCTTTGAGATCACAATAGATATCATGGAGACTTCAAGCTAAGGTCCCATCTGACTCTAATATTCTGGGTTTCATATCTTTAAGTTTGGACTGCTTCTTTGACATTAGACTGTTCAATTAGAAAGTCAGTGCATTGAGCAAATGGAAGTAGCCTGCATTTGAAACTGCATGAGTTCCTTTCCATCCTTCACATATGTTAAGGAAAGGATCAAATTGTTGTTATGTAGTTATTAGTAACATTATATTTATTGACAGAATAGAGCCCCATTCCAAAGCATTATATTACATATGGTTCAGTTTGAGAGCATCTGATTCTGAGTTTTTCAACTGCGGATTGTCATCATTAAATGATGACAGTATAAATGAGGTTGTGATGATGGTTATTTTTACTAGAGAAAGTGCAGATGATATGCCGTCGGAAATTGTAATGGAATGTGGGAATGAGGGAAAGAGATGTAGCCTAGGAAATAATCAGACAAGAAAGAGAGAGAAGCACCCATTAGTTTAACAGTCAGAAAAAGAAACTTAGGAAGGACCTGCTGTAATTGATCAGATGGCTAAAAGCAGGAAGTTTGTACCTCCAGACTTGCCAAATTATCTTGCAGAAAGTCTTATTTGTATGTATCCAGAAAATTAGCGGAAAAAAAAAACCAGAGAAAGATTCAGTCATTTTTAAATGTTAAAGCAAGGATGGGATTCTACCAGTTCGAACTGGTTCTGTAGAACCAGTTGTTATGACTTTGCACAGTTTGGAGAACCAGGAAATTGCGCCCCTGCCTGCCCCTGCCTGCCTGCCCTGCCCCTCCTTACCTTGCCCATGTGCCATCGCTGCCTGCAGTCTGCCTTTGCCTGCCCACCTGCCCGCCAGTCATCACTGTCTGCCTTCCACCAAGGACCTGCCTGATGTGATCTCCCTGGGTGAGTGAGATCTGCAAGCCCTGGTCGCCTACTTGCCACTGCTGCCACAAGCCCTGGTTGAGTCCTGACTCCTGGGCCACCATCATCATGCTGTCACCACCACATTCACCACCACCGCCTTCACCACCACTGCTGCCACAAGCCCCGGTTGACTCCTGATTCCAGTCCAGGGCAGGCCTAGGCTGCCACCACCATGCCATTGCTGCTGCCCTCACCACTGCCACCACCACAAGCCCGGTTGAGTCCCAACTTCCAGCCCAGCCTAGTCCGCTACCACCATCCTCAGAGCTTGCATCCTAGCTAGCTGCCCCCACCACTATCCCCAGCTTGCTTTGTTTGCTGATGGCAGAGAGGAAGGTGAGCCAGGGCTGAACCCTTGCCACTTGGGTCCCAACCAACCTGTATCTCGTCCCACACCTGAATTCTCCACAGCTTCTGGGCCCTGACTTCTGGGGGCAGGGGCAGGGGCAGGGAGCATGACTGCCCCTTTGCCTGCCACCCCTTCCCTTTACCACCTGCCGAACCCTGTGCTTTGGGCAAGTGCGGGTAGCCACTATGAGAACAGCACAAGCAAGCTCCTAATGCTGATGGTGAAGAAGGAAGATCCACACTGGGTTTGCTGCATTCAGCCAAAGGGCTGCCTGGGAAGAACATGGCAAGGCTTGGATGCCTTTTGGGCTCATCTTCAGCTTCTGCAGGGCCTTCCATGTGGGAGGCCTGAGAGAAAATGCCTCCCCCAAGAGTCATCAGCTTGCCCATCCGTTGGCCAGGCTGACCTGGAAGTGGTGTGTCCCCTTGTTGTGGGCTGATGCAGGACCCAAGGCATGGCAGAGATCGAGCAGGCAGCAGCCCAAAGC